ACAAGTTCCAGTTAGATCGAAAAAATCACTTAATGTTTTTTGCCGAGCCTGAGATCTCATATAGTCAAACCTCTCTTTATGACTAGGCCAAAAAAAGTAATAATTCTTATTCTACCAATCTAATACAATCAAACCTCTCTATAAGAGTATCATTTGTTCCGATATGTTTTGATTGTTATAGAAAAATGTTGTTATAGTAAACATATGACACAACATAACATGAGAAATCAGTTCCATAGAAAACATGGTTGGTATAGTGAAATATTGTTATAGAGGATGGTTGTGACAGAAAGGCCTGGATGTATGTGGCTGTCAACCTATAGTCATGCTGAAATTCAGCTAGAACAGTTCAAACCCTTCGTGAGTAGGATTATGAGTTTTAACACAGGATTTCAGAATGATTTGAACTGTTCAAGCTATTAGTTTCACGTTAAAGCTAAATATTCATGAAAAGAAAAAAAAATCATACAATAAAAGCTTGAAACTACAGAAAACCTCTCGCAATTTCCTTATCATTGTTAGTTTTGAATTAACATTAGAAGCTAACTAATACTGACTCATTGAGTTGCGCCATTAGTCACCCAAAGTCAAATACAGCAAAACAAAACATCAAAATAAGCAACTTACGTATCAATTTTCCTAACAAAATACAATCTTTACTTCCATATGCTCAACAAAAAGTAAAAACATCGACTACCCATTAAGCTTTCATTCATAAAATTCCCCCAAAATCACAAGACTTCAATTTTCAATTAGCATAAACGCATAAAAAAAGAAAACCCAAGTGGGCAGCCAGCAGTGAAGAGCTGAAGTAACAATCTTGGAAACCATAGTCCGAATCCCAGCAAACTACAACAGTCACTAAATTCTTCACATCTACCTAGGGCTTGGTGGCACATTTTCCGATACAAATACCAGTAGATTAGTGGAAGTGCACCTAAACTGCTTAGTCTGACCCAGACCACCATGTTATTCGAACTAATTATTCAAAAAAAGAGGAAGTAGACAAGGGAGTGAACCTGGATGCTGAAATCTCCGTCAAGGGAAACATTATGAGACTCTTCGGGAACAAAGTCGCCGCTGCCTTGAACCATCATCTGCCGCTCCGTACGGTCGAGATCGGAAGCAACCGCCGCCAAATCGAACTCTGAGAAGAAAGGCCCTTGTAAAACGGTGTTTACACAATGTACAGCGCAAAGCTTAGATTCTTGTACCTCGTGGTACAACATCCCTCCATTGCTAACTCCTTCCATTCTTCCTCCCTACTGTTTTTAGCCTTATCAGGAAGCCAAAGTAACCTTAGGTTAGGGTTTCGATCAGCAAACTGCTATTTTCGTTTTTTTTTAAAATATCTGTGGAAATAAATTTAAGAAATTGGAAATGTAAAGAAGTTTATTTGGAAGGTAGAACTGGTGACACTTGAGAAGTACAAAAACAGTTTTTGGTAACTCCCTCTTTCTTAATTGACACGTCTCCTCATATTCTCCGCCACAACTCCAAAATGAAGGATAACATAATCAGTGTAGCTCCTGCGACTATCATGATAAGTTGCGTCGAACTAATATTGGGATTAGAATAAATCGTAAAAGTAATTAAGTCAACGCTTATTTATTGTGGATCTACTGATTCGAACGCTTGAATTTATTTCACTGTAAATAACTGAGTGCGGTGCTGGAATAGTTCCATCCTTAATTAAAGATTTCAAATTTAAGTTTGAGAAAATTTTATTAGGAGAGTCACATTTGAATTGACACTGCCATGTGTGATCCGAATTTAATTGACACTTTAATGTAATTTCACGGATCTATAAAGGTTAACAAAAATTCACAAAATATTTATCATTTCAATTTTTCGAGTTTCGTGTGTTTTTTTAAAGTGAAGATGGGCACAAAGGTTTAATAAAATGTGTGAATTTTCTACTTGAATTATCACTAACTATTTATCAAAATACACCTCAATTATCGATTATTTTATATTTCTACCTAAAATATCACCATCGTTCAGATAGCTAGGAAAAAGAACAATTAATAGTTGAAGTTGTTTTTAATAAATAATTGGTTATGATTCATATAGGAAACGTGCATGACTGATAGCTCATATATAAAATTCGAAAGGTGTATTTTGACCCTTTACTTTTATTATTGTATTTTTTTTTCTTACTAGTATTATTACTGTTTTTTTCCCTTTTATTATCAATATTTTTATTCTATAATATTTCATTGTAACTTTTACTTTTGTATTTATCAGGTTTATAAAATTACTCCATAAAGTAAAGTAACTTTTGGAAGACAAAATAAAAATAAATAATTTTGATGTTCAATTACACTAAATTGAATGACCACTTAAGAAATCAATTTAATTTACCAAAAAGGACACCAATATATTTTTAGTTAATAGTCATAACACTTGATAAGAAGATTATTTATAAAGATATTCACATCGTAAAAGCTTGAGAGATATCTAGATGAAAAACATTTTAGTGGTCAAAGAGTAATTTGAGTTACAACTTAATACAACGACAGTAACATATTCAATGTAATTCGATGATTGAAGTATGATGATGATAAAATATATGTAAATCTTATTGATATCCTTGTGGTCAGAGAATTGTTTTCAAAAGATCCACGACTCAAAAGAGAAGAGAGAAGGAAAAAAGAGAAATGGCGGAAAAATAGAGGAAAAAATCGAACCATGCATGCAACAGAAAAACGAATATTACAATGAATAGCAAGTACAAAGCAAATAAGAAACATATACTAAAACATATAAAATAATAAGAAGCTACATAAATACTAAATAATACTACTTGTAAGAAAATATGTAGAGGCGACTTGATTATCCCTCCTAGAGTGCAACATTATTTGGTTATCTACTGCCCTTCTATCTCAATCGTTGACATCCATACCTTCCTAGAGTCACGTTCTCTGTAAGATGAAGTGGCGTCATAGATTTCCAATCACCTTTCCAATTCTTCTTAACCTCTACCTTTCTTAGCTCTTGCGATAGCTAACCTCTCACACCTTTTTAATGACACATCGCACACCTCTTCTTCACATGACTCCAGAATCAACTTAGGCTCGCTTTTCTTCTTTTGTCCGTTATGGAAGTCAATGCTGCCACCTTATTTCGTATTACTTAGTTTCTATTTATATCCCTTTTTGTATGCTCGCACATTCATTTGAGCATCCTTATCCATGTGATAGTCATTTGATGGACATGGACGTATTTGATTGGCTAACAATTCACCTCATACATCAAAGTTAATCTTACAATTACTCTATAGATCACTTATCTTAACCTTTGAAGACATATTTTTATATCACATTATCTTGAAAATGAACCTCCATTTTACTTTTTCCACTCAAGTATGATGTACGACATCCTCATCAATCTCACCGTCTCCTTGAATTATAAAAATATATAACAAGAAGTTTGAGTCTCAACAGTTTCTTAATGACCATTATCTGGATAAAGTTGTCATAACCCAATTTAATGAAGTTGTAAGGGCGCCTACATCTTATTATAATTTGATAGATGAATCAATTTATATTAAATCATTTATTATTATTAAAATGACGACAATGAAGAATTTAATTTAATAAAAAATCATGATAACAAAGCCAAAATATCAAAAGTGCAAAAAACACATTAAAAAAAAAGAATTGTAGATGTGAGGCATGAGCTTTGTTGAAGACAAATAATATGTCAGAAGTGTTGAGTACATTACCAAAAAGGAAATACACAAAAAGAAATAAATAAAAATAAAAGAAAGTCAGTTGAACATCTCATCCTAAAATCTCTTTCAACTTTCTAAATACGATCACAACCTCCATTAATGTTGAGATGATGATATACCCTAAAAAATGTAGCAAGTATAAATAATATGAACACAAAAATCAGCATATACTCAAGAAATTTGATCTATAATTCAAGAAAATGATAGCCTAATAAAGGCGAAACACATAAACAACCCCTCAAACTTGCCCTCATTTTCATTTTGGCACTCCAACTTAGTCTTGTTCCATATTAACCCTTATACTCCATTTTTTCTGTACCATTTAAACACTAATACTAATTTTTATGATTTTTTATTTATTTATGTTCTTCAATTGCAATTTCTTATTTTAAAAAATAAACATGTGTCTGTTAATTTTCATAAAAAAATTAAACATTCGCGAACGAACATAAATTTTTTCAAACAATAATATTATTTTTTGAGATTTCTCTGTATTTTTGCATGAAAGTAAATTGACGAAAGTTTTTTGATTTTCTTTCCTAAAACATTCAATTAAATTAAATAACACTACTTATTTATTTTTTCTTATCATTTAAGCTATCTAAATTTAATGCAAATACTCACTTTTTATTTTTAATATAAATCAATACGAATAAAAAAACTCATCTTCAATACAAGTAAAAAAGACTCTTGTTCATTGCTAATAACACTACTAAAAAATGTTAAAACTCAACTAACTTTGTTAGATTGTCGGTGATTTTTAAGAAAGAAAACCAACACAATTTCGTCGGTTATTTTTCACACAAAAATACATAAAACTCTTAAAAATAAATTATTATTTTTTTAAAAGAATTATTTTTTGTTAATTTTTATTTTTTTAAACTAAAATTAACTAACAATTGTCGATTTAAAATAAGAAGTTGCAATTGAAGAATATATATAAAAATAAAGAAATCATAAAAATAGTATTTCGTATTAAAATGGTACATAAAAAATGAAGTTTAAGGATTAAAATGGAATAAAGCTAAGATAAAGTGTCAAAATGAAAAATGCGGACAAGTTAGAGGGGTTGTATATGTGTTTGGCCCCTAATAAAAGACTATAAGTTGACAAAAAAATGAAAAAAAGAAACTGTTTTTTCTAATGGTAAGAAAAAAAAGAAAAGGAGAGAATACATTAAATTTCTTAAAAACTAAATAATAGAATCAAACATAACCAATAAAAGCACTACACATATACCATAAGTATTTGCCATGATTTAATTATAATAATTGATTTTTAATTTCTGGGTACTTTTCTATTGAAGTTTCTTGTTGAGCAAGTTGAGAGCTGAGACCATTTTACCTTTCTCCGGCGAAATACAAGTTCTCTACATTTCTTTCTTTGCCGGAACCCTAATTTTTAGTGACTGGTTTTAAGGTATTCTCCTTTTCGTTATGCTTGACTTGTTTATTCAATGTTGTTAGGTTACATAATCTGCTATTTATTCTTCTAACTTAGTGCTCAATGCTGGATATAATTACTTGAAACTTCAATGATTAAGTTAATAGTTTCTCTGAGATTGATAATTTTTTGATTAGGGATCATCAGAGAGAGAGAGATGCTGGTTGAGCTTTCGATTAGTTCTACTCAAGTGTTATAGTTTTGATTTTTGCTGTTTATTGTCTTCCCTGGAGCTCGTGCATAACGGGAACTTTAGTGCACCGGGCTACTGTTTGCCATTATTGTAGTTATAGATACTACTTAACTATACCTCTTAAAAAATTCCTATGATTTGCGAGGATTTTAATGGGCTACCTACCATTTCCTACCAACAACATAGGTACTGAGTAACTCTGTTCAACAAGGCTTGGACAGTGTGGAAGACATTACCTAATATTTTTGCCTCAGCTGTGATTTTAACCTGAGGTCTCGTGTTCTCAACTGACCAATAGGTAATGCCCTTGGGTGCCATTTGTAGGGAATTATTGTTATGCTTGTCCTTTTGGAGTCCAATGAAGGATTTTGTTGTCCAATTTGAAGGACAGAATGGTTGAGAATAAAACGAAATCAAGAGACACACAGTTGGTGGAGTGTGACTTGTATCCGTAAGTCTACCACCAATATGTGACAACATACTTGGTGTCCATGCTTCATAGTAGGTGATGCACATGATAAGCTAGAGAAAGTGAATGGGTAAATTCAAGCAACTATGCATCATAAAAGAAGATAGCATGTCATAAGCTCAAAATCAAACAACGAACATTCAATTCCAAGCTAGTTGTTGTTGGCTCGGCAGTATTAATCCTCATTATTGTTCTTCTCCATTTAGACCCATTTATTCCAACGTTCTATAAATTAGGTTTTCTAACCTTAGAAGTTCTCTATGTGTTCTACTGATGTACAAATTCTCAACAAGATTAAATAAACTTTTAGCAAATATTGGACTAATGGAAGTGTACCAACAAGACTAAGCCAGTTTCTTTTGAGTATCAAAAGCCAATAAGGAAATGATTATGAAGGTGAAAGTGCAGGACAGAGCACCTTACTATTGTGAGTCTACATTAAAGCACTGAAGTTGTAGTATTCATAATGGATGTTGCATTGTAGTCTTGTGACTCCAAACTGTATTGTGGGGTTCTTATGAACATGACTTCTAAGGACTGAGGTTGAAGAAAGTGTAATGAGATGGAAAATGCTAATAAATAGACAATGTGATCCACTAGAAAAAACTGATAGAAGGTGGGGAAACTTTTGTATTGAGCATAAAAAGAAGAAAAAAGGAGGAGCTGTGGGTTATATTCCTTTTTGGAGTGCAGGGCTCTAAATCTATGTTTGATATGCTCTAATCAATGTTTCTTTGAGAAATCATGGCATCAGATCTGTGCAAAAGTAGCAAAACTGCATCTTGAAAGGCTGCTTCAAGGAATGTCTGTCTTTAGGTTGTTTTAAAGAGCCACAACAAGTAAAAAAAATATTTTCTTTTCATGGGATTTTATGGACAGCCTTCACTATGTTTTAATGTGATGAGTTTGGATGCTATCTTCTAAGCAAAAGTTAGACTACCCCCAGTTGCAGAACTATTTGGCATCTAGATGCCTCAATTAAGTTGATAGAGTAATGCACAATATCCATAAATGCTGATGGCATGACCTGGCTGCTGAAAAGAGGCATTACTAATGTAGAAGGTCTAAACAAAAGGATTTTTGTCATTTGAGTTATCAGTTCTTCTTTTGATAGGAAATGCATGTGCACCAAGGAATTGCCATTGATTTAGTGAGTGGTTTATTTATGGCATCTGCCACTTGAGGACTTTGTGCTTACAATTGTTTGCAGGAAGTTCTTCTTGAATTCATACTACATGTACAATATAAATTACTTAAGGAAATCTTGACTGGTACCCTAAAATTGTTTTGGTATTTGTTGCAGAATTCACAATGTCAAGAAGATATGACAGCCGCACAACTATCTTCTCCCCTGAAGGTCATTTATATCAGGTTGAATATGCAATGGAAGCTATTGGAAATGCAGGCAGTGCAATAGGTATCTTAGCTAAAGATGGTGTGGTGTTGGTAGGTGAAAAGAAGGTCACTTCAAAGCTTCTCCAGACCTCGACATCCACCGAGAAGATGTACAAGATTGACGACCATATTGCCTGTGCTGTGGCTGGAATGATGTCAGATGCCAACATCCTCATTAACACTGCGAGGGTTCAAGCTCAACGCTATACTTTTGCTTATCAAGAACCAATGCCTGTTGAACAACTAGTTCAGTCTCTGTGCGACACCAAGCAAGGCTACACACAGTTTGGTGGGCTTCGTCCATTTGGTGTTTCCTTTCTTTTTGCAGGCTGGGACAAGAACTATGGCTTTCAACTGTACATGAGTGATCCAAGCGGCAATTATAGTGGTTGGAAAGCTGCAGCAATTGGGGCCAACAATCAACCAGCACAGTCAATGTTGAAGCAGGACTACAAGGATGACATGACAAGAGAGGAAGCTGCTCAACTTGTTTTGAAGGTGCTTAGTAAGACTATGGATAGCACTAGTCTTACCTCAGACAAGCTTGAACTGGCAGAGGTATTCCATACCAATGGTAAAGTCAAATACCAAGTGCACTCACTGGAATCTGTGAACAAGTTGCTCATACAGTATGGATTAACCCAACCAGATCCAGAGGCCGCCTAAAACACTTTTCTGACTTTGAGCATGTTTCAGCTATCTGATTATTGGATAAGCTGTTCACTGACTTGCCCATAAATTCATGCCTAGATATTTTCTGTCTTTATTCACTTCCTTAGATGGCAAAGTCCGTTGCCTTGTGCTAATGAGAAATTGGAAATACATTTGGGTACTTTTTGGTGCAGTCTCCTATATGCTTGTTATGTTTGATAATGATATTCTGACTCAGTGCTGGGTAATAGTCGAAAACATGAAGCATTAGAGCCCATCACCTTCAGTTTTTGATAAGAGGCCTCGAATTTGGAGACGTATTTTTAATGAAAAAATGCACTGATCTGGGGCTTTTATTTAGTGCCACACCTTACCACAAATTGATACCACTTTATATCAATTTAGGGGTTATTAGGACGCGTCAAACTTAAAGTATATAGTAATTAGAAAGATGACAAAGAAAGTTTGACTGGGTTCTTATAAAAACAAGGGAACCGAAAAAACAGCGCAGTATTCCATTAAAAAAATTCTGATTTTATGACCAATTGGTTGTATTCTCATTTCTGCAGCTATATATATATATGTCCAAGTCCAACCACCCCGTCTCCTTCACGTGATTTTTCTTGGGAATTGCATCAAACAAAACAAACAAGTAGCCTAGATTTGCTTCTTACAGATAACCATGGCTGAAACTCATGAAACAGTTTTCAAGTCAGTACAAGAACTAGCAAATGACAATCAAGTTCCAGAAAAGTATATTCATACACAAGGGTCAATCAATAGCTCTTCTCCCCTGCTGGATGTGCCAGTAGTTGACCTTAGCCTTCTCACATCCCCTGCCAGACAACAAGAGCTCAACAAACTTCAATCAGGCCTCAAGTTTTGTGGCTGCATCCAGGTTTGATTTTTATAATCTTGAAAATGGTCTTTTTTTTACTTGGCTTGTGATTGACAGAAAGATTTGGGGGTGGTATGGTCAAGGGGTGAGGTTTGGGGAATTGAGTGGGTGGGAAGGAAATAATAAACTTGAAATGCCACTTATGCAACTTGTTTTCCCTGCTTCCATTAGAAAAGTCATTTTCCCTTTTCCCTACTTCCCTTAGAAAAGTCATTTTTTTCATTTTTAACAACTTGTTTTCCTAGAGAAATTTGACCAACCAAAGATAGGAAAATTGGAAACACACCCTACATGTAAGAATGAGGGGTCCATGTAGATTTCCATATGGGTTCATCAGAACCCATAACTTCCAATACGAACTACAGATATGTACTCATAATGAAATCAATAACTTAACACCAACGGATGTCGTACAATGGTGGGGCTGCTCCTCCCTTGACTATAGGTCTCGAGTTAGAGCTCTGGATAGGGAAAAATCCTTGGTAGAGGACACTTCCCTCCGAATAGAGTCCTAAGCAGCGCAAATTTGGATTAGTCGGGTTGCAGTGTGGGTAATTGATAGAAATAAAAAATATTAAAGTATATTATTAGATATGAACCGATAATTTCAGGTATCACAAATTGAAATCCCGCCAAATCTAAGAATAGTTAAAGAAAAAGGGTATCACGAGGGGGTGATAGTAAAGTAGTAGTAAAAGAAACGGATGTGAACACAAATCTTTATGCTCTCTGCACTCTTGGTCGCAGTGGCAGAGCTAGGACTGTAAGGTTGTGGGTGTTGTCTTAGTTTAAGAGTGGCGGAGTCTTCAAAATATATTTTTTAAAAGACATATTTAAAGTGAGTTGGATTTTAAGGTTGTGGGTGCTCTCTTAGTTTAAGAGTGCGGAGTCTTCAAAATATATTTAGAATAAAACATATTAAATGTGAGATTTGAACTCACGCTTAAGAGGCTTAAGAGTGATGGAGTCTTCAAAATATATTTAAAATAAAACGTATTAAAAGTGAAATTTGAACTCAGGCCGAGCAAGACTAAGACAACCTTAAGCACCCACCAAGAGCCATTAGACAATCAAACCATTTGTTCATTGGGTGCTCTATATTAATTTTATACAAATTCTTCTTAATGTCTATATAGATATATGCTCGAGCACCCGGAGGACTCTTTGTGGGTCTGGCCCTACCTGGTTGCAATATCCGTTTAACAAATGAATTATGATATTGGAAATTCAGGTCATAAATCACGGACTAGCTGATTCATTTCTTGACAAAGTGCATGAAATTAGCAAACAGTTCTTTGCTCTTCCAGCTGAAGAGAAGCTTAAATATGCCAGAACAGTTGATGACATTTATGGATACGGAAACGATTCAGTTCTTTCAGATAAGCAAAAGCTTGATTGGACTGACAGATTGTATCTAAATGTGTTCCCTGAAGATATAAGAAACCTCAAATTGTGGCCCCAAAAACCTGAATGTTTCAGGTACATCTTCTCTGCTTTTACTCCGAAATGAACAAGTTAAGATGCACAGAGCTAACAAAATTACTATTTGGTGGCAGGGAAGTTCTGGAGGAATATATCAAGAATATGAAGTTGTTGAGTGAGTCCCTCCTAAAGGCCATGGCAGCATCATTGAACTTGGAGGAGAACTGCTTTCTGGACCAGTGTGGAGAACGCGGAGATATGATTGCAAGATTCAACTTCTATCCTCCGTGTCCAACACCTGAGGTTGTACTCGGAGTCAAACCACATGCTGATGCATCGGCCATTACCATCCTGTTGCAAGACAAAGAAGTTGAGGGGCTTCAGGTTCTCAAAGATGATCAATGGTTCAGAGTGCCTATTGTCCCATATGGTCTCCTCGTTAATGTTGGAGATCAAGTTGAGGTAAGAAAGAGTATACTAAATCATGCTGAAGAGCTTCAAATGTGTTGGATTTATTTAAGTGATTCAAAGTTTAATGCATCTTTTGGTTAGACGCGATTCTTTTATGAAAAGATGCATTCAACCTTTTCCTGAGTGGTTCGTTGTATTTTAGAAGTAGGACGTTACTGTACTATTTGCACTCAGGTAGCAAGGGAAATGTATCCTGAAATCAACCTTCCATAGCATGCCTCGGAATGATTTTTCTTATTCAAAACTCTCTTCTTTTATCATTAATTGTTGCAACTTGAACTGGTTGTTGATTAAATATTGTTCCTTAGCATTGCCATCTCTAATATTTTCCAACAAAATGTTGTACAACATGTAGAGTTCTTAGGATTGTTGTTCTTTGCAGATAATGAGCAATGGTATCTTTAAGAGCCCTGTGCACAGGGTGGTGACGAATGCAGACCGAGAAAGAAACACCCTTGCTGTTTTCATAATGCCAGATGTAACTGTTGGAATTGGACCAGTGGAGAAGCTAATCAATGAGGAAAGGCCAAGAGCGTACAAGGACGTTAAGAATTATGTTGAACTCTTCTTCCAAAGCTATCAGCACGGGAAAAGACCAATCGAAACAGCAATGATATGCCAAGAACAAGATTAGCTGCCAACAAATCGTGCTTTTCCATCAAACCGGCCCTGCTACAGTATGTTTGTCCTTTTTTTTTTTCTCTATTTGTATTTTTACTAGTCGTTGTTGCCTGTGCTGTACATGAGCTCAACATGCTTTGAGAAATGCAAGCTCTTGAATAGGAGAAAGATAACGGTTTGATCTGGAACCTATTGTTATTCATTTACAAAATATACCACATTCACAATATTTCCAAATAGGATGAACTGAAAGTTGCTTTGCGACACATGTGTGTCTATTTGTTCAACTTTATATAAGTTTAAATATCTATTTGTGCACACCCAAAGTTGAAGGGCATAAATGTGAAATAAGATCAAGTTAAATGACATATTGACGTATTATGCCTAAAAACAATGAAGCATAAGAGCTTTATCTCCTTCATTTTTTTTTGTTGTGCTCTATATTCAGGATTTGAAGTTTGTAGGCTTCGATGTATCTCGAATTGAAAAAATAAATAATAGGAACACACAAAATAAAGACGCGGTGATCAAATTCATCCCTGGACCAAGAAGGCAGCAAACTTAAAAGGTTCTTATCTATCATTGTACCAACAACACATAGTCAAGTCATTTACCTTATTTATTTACTGAATTTTTCAATGCAAAATACACGATGCGTAAAAAATTACTATTAGATTTTCGGGAACACATTTTTAATAAACTGATGAGTGATGTGGGCCTTTTCTTTTTTCCTCTCCCCACAAAAGGTGATATTAATACTACTGGTACTTTATACGGAAAATTGTATGAAATAACAAACTATTAATTCAAATTAAATGCTATAGCCATAGCTTATTTTAATTGTAATTCGCAGCAAACATCTCTTTTTTTTGCCATCTGATTTGGTATACAATTAGCCATTTTCGGTATACAATTAGCCATTTTATAGATTTCGATATAAAATGCGTTTGTGTTTGTGTTTGTATAAAGCGAGAGAAAAGTGTATATATAAATACAAATACATATATTTTCGTCCTATACACTTATAATTATATAAATACAGATCTTATTATACAAATTACAATGTATAAATGAATTTATACAAAACTGAACAATTTGTATAAAATTGGATGTTTGTAGCGAATTATACAAATCAAAAGCTCCATAGCAAACATACAATTTGTTATGGAGTGCAATTATGCAAACTATAGCTATACCATATAAATATGATTTTTATGTTTGCTAGATGTGAAAGTTGCCCATTATACTATCAGTTTAGAGGAATTAAAAAAAAAAAGTTTGAGGGTTTTCTTATGTATTATCCCCACAATTTCTATAAAATAAACACACCGAGAAAATAGAGCAGCACTCCATTGAAAAATCCAATTTTATGACCAATTGGTTGTTTTGTATAGAAGGATCCATTTGACTTTGACCATACAAATTATTCATTTTTATTACAATAATTTTTTACTTTATTTGAAAAAGCATCATAAAATTTTTAAATTCAACAGAAAGTTACATTTTAAATTTAGAAAACAGTTTATAACTTGTTTTCTAATTAATTTTTATTTTAAAAGTTATATTTAACATTATTCGAAATATTCTTTATAAAAAATATAATTAAACAGGCCTTTTATTTTGAAATAATGTTTATGCTCATTTTACTTAAATATAATTTTAAAAGCAGAAATACATAAAAAAAATAGTTTAGTTAAAAAATATCCCTACCGTCCATATAAGATCATTTTGAACTAAACTATTAGCAGATGACAAAAGTTAACAAACTTCTTTCCAAATTTGAATACCAAACTTCAATGCCAAACACTCATTTTCAAGGGCCTACAGTTACAGTCCAAACCACCCATCTCTTCACGAGTATGAATTTTCATGGGATATATCTAGATGCAGAGTCAGGATTAAGAGTTTGTAGGTTCCAAATTTTCTTTTAAAAAAGAGAGGGGGGGGTTTGAACTTACAACTCTAGCGTGAAAAACATTTTCACAGTTCCTTTCTTACCACTAAACCATCAATCAATTTTGTTAGAGTTCACAAGTTAATATACATATATATTTAATTTATTTTCTAATACAAACAAAGTCTAACCAAAAGCTATTGAATTTGTCTGAACCCATGAATCCCCACCTAGCTATGGATATATCATATATTGAGAAACGAAGTAAACAATAAGATGTACAACAAGCTAACATTTGCCTCTTACAACAATAAAAACCATGGCTGAAACTCAACAAGAAACAGTTTTCAAGTCAGTACTAGAACTAGCAAATAACAATGAAGTTCCAGAAAAATATATTTATGCACAAGGATCAATCAATACCTCTCCTCTCCTGCTGGCTGTGCCACAAGTTGATCTTATCCTTCTCACATCCCCTGACAGACAACAAGAGCTCAACAAACTTCAATCAGGTCTCAAGTCTTGTGGCTGCATCCAGGTCTGTTTTTTCTAATCTTAGAAATGGTCTTTCTTTTTTTAATAATTTCCCCTGTTTCATTTTATATAAGTTAATTTGACTTGACATGAATTTTTAGAAATAAAGACTTTTGAAATTTGTGGTCTAAAATAAGTGATAGATATTTGTGTAGCCATAAATCATTTCATTAAAGGTAAAATTGACATTTTAAAGGTTAAATTGTTATTTAATATAGAAATGTCTCATTCTTTTTTAAACAAACTAAAAAGTAAAAGTGAGTCATATAAACTGAGACACACAGGGCATACTTAGTTTGTGACGGAAGAAAGTTAAGTAAGGAAAATCATAATAGCTTACTTAGCTGAATTTTCAACTTATTGGTTCTAAAGATTTAATTTACCTTGTAATCTCCTCCCGGTTTTCCCTTCTCCATGATTTAGAAGAGAGGGAGGTATTCACTCGAACACCCGGTAAAAAATTCCACAAATAACTAAATAAACTTGTGAATGAAAATAAGGAAAACCAAATTATGTTTACTAGATTTGTTGGTGAAGAGCACTATTAAAGAGAATCACCTACATTAGAAGAATGAGGGGCCAATCTAGCTCTTTGGCTACGGGTTCATTATATATACGTAGAAAAATAATACACGAGGTGTTCACAAGAGGCTTTTTGGACGCTTACCTAGCCAATGCTTAGATCCGGCTCTTTAGTTCACTCTAACATTCCCCATTTGTTCGAGGGACCAAGCTCCTTCGTCCGCCACTGTTTTTTGGTTCACTCCAACATTCCCCACTCAGAGGCGTATCCAAAATATCGAAGGGAGGAGTGCACTATTACGAAAAGATGCATCAAAGATATAAATTTAATCGATTTGATCTTTACGTTCTTATCACTGAATCATTAAATTTTAAAAATAATAGGTCCAACATATATAATACTACTAGTTTTAAATTTTAATATATACATTTGATTTAATTATATAAAAATTTAACCGTGCTATTTTTTTTTTTAGGAATTTCCAATGTTACACACTTGAAAATTTTGAAAGATTAAAGCAAAAAAATAAAAGAAAATTGATCGAAACGCCATAAGTGTTGATAACCACTTGGAGGGGTGGTTATCAACGCCATAAGTGTTGATAACCACTTGGAGGGGTGTTACTAACAAAAATAAGATAGATATAAGATTTAAATTTCTATCTTTGCTTAGAGAGATGCACCCGATCATCATCGTATTATTATATGCTACTTTTACATGGGTTCACACCCAGAGGCGGACCACCCTCAAGAGTGTGGTGCACGTGCACCCGTTCACTTCAATTTTTTTTATATACACGTATATTATGAAATAAGGAATATATAACTCAATGTGCAACCGAAAACACATAAAATGAGTTGGTGTAGTGGTCAAACACCTGGTCGTTAGTAATCTTAGCAACTCGCTGGTTGCGAGTTCGACTGTTCTTTTGTCAATTTTAATTTTTCTTTTCCAATAAAGGCCTAATAAAAAAACCTCAAGCGAGATTCGAAGTAGCAATCTCAGTGTGTACACTAAGGGTCAAGACCATCAAATCATAGAATGAATTATGTTAGATTTTTTAAATTTATATTTATATATACACTCAATTTTATACTTGTTTGACAATATTTTTCGATGAAGTGTCGTTGCTTCACTAACTCACACTCGACTTTAATAGTGCCCCCGGCGTCTTTCAATCCTGAGTTTGCCTCTATTCACACCTCTATATTTAAATAATTTTTTTAAAAATATAACACTACTATATATAATCTAGAGAGGGGAACCCACATAACCCCCTCTAGATACGCACCCCACTTGCTCGAGGGTTGCTGAGCGGGTTATACTAAAATCTCAATAAAAATTAGATACAAATCCATAATTTTAACATTACTATAAGTTCAATACTAATAATCTTCAAAGTTAAATTTAGGCATAATACATGAAGAGCACACTCAAACTTGGTCTCAATTGGCAAGTAAATACTCAAATTTTGATTATGCACATCTAGACACCTCAACTCGTCTTTAATGTAATTGAACACTCTAACTTACAAAATAACTATCTAGACACCTTCAAATTTTATGTGTCACATCAGCGTCAACATTCATGAGACAATAGGAACGAGTTAAAGTGTTTAATTGCCAGTTGATTCTAAGTTGAAGTATCTAGATGTGCACTCTCAAAGTAATAAAGGTCAAGTTTAAGCATTTTTTCTGTAATGTCTTATATTTGTAGTGTTAGCTCCGCTTCAGCTAAGAACAGTAAAAGAAAAAGGGTATCACGGGGATGAACACAAATCTATATGCTCTCTGCACTCTTGTTTACAATATCAGTCTAACATATGATATTGGAAGTTCAGGTCATAAATCATGGAATAGAAGATTCATTTCTTGACAAAGTGCTCGAAATTAGCAAACAGTTTTTTGCTCTTCCAACTGAAGAGAAGCTTAAATATGCCAGAACAGTTAATCAAATAGAAGGATATGGAAATGATAAAGTTCTTACAGATAATCAAAGGCTGGATTGGTCCGATAGATTGTATCTAAATGTGTTCCCTGAAGATATAAGAAAACTCCAATTCTGACCCCAAAAACCTGAATGTTTTAGGTACATCCTTTGCTTTTACTCCGAAATGAACAAGTTAGACATACACAGGGCTAACAAATTACTACTTGGCACTTGACAGTTTTTGAAAAATATATCAAGGATATGAAGTTGTTGAGGGAGTCCCTCCTAAAGGCCATGGCAGTGTCATTGAACGTAGAGGAGAACTGCTTTCTAGACCAGTGTGGAGAACGCGGAAACATGATTGCAAGATTCAACTTCTATCCTCTGTGTCCAAGGCCTGATGTTGTACTCGGAGTCAAACAACATGCTGATTCATCGGCTATTACCATCCTGTTGCAAGACAAAGAAGTTGAAGGGCTTCAGGTTCTCAAAGATGATCAATGGTTCAGAGTGCCTGTTGTACCGTATGGTTTACTCATTAATGTTGGAGATCAAGTTGAGGTAAGAAAGAGTAAACTAAATCATGCTGAATGGCTTCAAATGTGTTGGATTTGTTTTTGAGTGATTCAAAATTTATTGTGTCTTTTAGTTAGACACAATTCTTTTATGAAGAGACAATTCCAACCTTTTTAGGACACATCTCTTCATTGCAAGGTATGATCGCTAGGGAATCTTATTAGCTCAGTTGGTTGTTTACGTGATCTTTTACATTGTTGGTGACAATGCGATTCTCCACCTTGTAATACCCTCCCCTATTTCCCCTCTCTTACCCCCATTTAGGCATAATACATAAATATGACCATTAACTTGGCATCAACTGACAATTATGACCTTTAATTAACTTTGAATGTGCACAAGTAGACAATTAAACTTTTATAAAATTAAACAAATGGACACATTCGTCCTACATGGCACCCTACGTGGAAATTTTGTGTCCTATGTGGCGTCCTATGTGTATTATGCCATGTTTGGACACGTGAGTGTACTTATTCAATTTTATACAAGTTTAAGTGTCTACTTGTGCACATTCAAAGTTTGAGGGCATAGTTATTCGCTGAAGCCAAGTTAAAAGTTATGAAAGGTATGATCACTCTGTACTTGAGATCAACATTATTTGGCTCTTTATGATTTCATCTCCTTCAAACGTCTATCGTCCTTTTTCCCAAATTCTATAAAAGCAATCAAGAGATATAAGAGTTCGCGGGACTTCTATATAAGTGTACATTATATGATTTCCTGAGTGGTTCGTTGTATTTTAGGAGTAGGATGTCATTTTGCTATTTGCACTCTGGTGGCAACGGAAGTCTATTCTGAATCAGTGCCTTAGCGTGCCTCGAACCTGATTTTCCTATCCAAAGTTCTCTTTCTTCTTTTACCATTAATCGTGTCAACTTGAACTGGTTGTTGATTAAATGTTCTTCTTTAGCGTTACCATCTATAATTATTTTCCAACAAAATGTTGTACAACAAGTAAAATTTTCAGAAAAATTTTGTTCCTTGCAGATAATGAGCAATGGCATCTTTAAGAGCCCCGTGCACAGGGTGTTGACGAATGCAGAACGAGAAAGAAATACCCTTGCTATTTTCATTATGCCAGATGTAGCTGTTGAATAGGAGCAAGACAACAGTTTGATCTAGAACCTATTGTTATTCATTTACAAAATATACTAAATGCACAATATGTATCAAAGATAGGAGTAAGGTGTGCGTACACCCCAACCTCCCTAGACCTCACTTGTGAGACTACACTGGGTATATTTATTGTTGTTGTTATTGCACAATATTACGAAACAGGATGAACTGAAAGTTGCTTTGCCGAAAGAACAGAATACTTCTCTAACTAGAAGAAGGAAGAAACAATAACTGGTAACGCACACACATGAACAGTTCATTTCTTCGAGTCTTTGTTAATGATTCAAATGAAACAAAAGTGAAGATTGCTGCGTCCAAACAATCTAAAAAGTGTAGTTAAATAACCAAAAACAGAATGGACAAATTTCTACTGATATTTACTTTTTGATTGCTGTTCGAGTCAGCTTTCACGCACCTTGACTAATTTCACAATATACTTGTTATCTCCTACCAACAACATGTATTAGGTAACTCTGTCTACCTAGACTCATATGAGGTAAAGAGAGATCATGAGTAGAAGGATCTAGGTGACAAACTGAGTCAAGCATAAAACATTCCGCCTTACTTCTAAGAAAACTTAAGCTATTGTTGATTAAGTTCTAAAATGAAAAAAGTTATCGAGACGAACTATTGTTGTTCTTGAATTATTTTTTATTAAATATAATCCCAGTAGTTTTTTCCAAATATGACATTGTTACTCTGATTTGGGATCTGGCTCCACTCCAATTTCCCCAAGTTCTTGCTTGGATGTGAGGCACATGACATAGGTAAAAATTAATTGCTAAGATTTGATTGATTATAATAAAATTTTAATTATAATTTAGATAATTAATATTTCATAAAAATAGTAATGTCATATATATATATATTATCTTTTTCATAAATATATTATAAAAAAAAATCTCTTTTTTCTAATTTTTTTCCTGCTAGTATTATCATCTGTTTTTGTCCTAAATATGTTAAATATTTTCTATTTTTCTATTATTTTTTTCGTGCGAGTATTTTTGCTATTAATTACATTTGATAACCAATTTTAAAGAGAAAGATCAAAATTGCAATCTAACACTAACTCAATAAAAAAAAAACAGAATGTAAATACTCGTAGAGAAAAAAAAAATAGAAAAAAAGAGAATTTTTTTTATAATATATTTATGGACAAGATAATATATTTGTATGATTGTGACATTACTATTTTTATGAAATATTAATTATCTAAATTATAATTAGAATCTTATTTTAATCAATCAAATTTTGGCTATTAATTCTTACCTATGTCATGTGTCTCACATCCAAGCATGAACTTGGGGAAAATGGAGAGGAGCCGGATCCTCTGATTTGATCTTTTTTCACTCATTTAAATAAGGACACTGCTTTAGAGAAAATTTTGTCAATAAAGAGTGGTGAGTAATTAACAACTCCATAGTACATAAATATATTCCTTTATTTCCTTTTGAATTTTCTCTTTTAATTTAATTTATCGTTTATAATTTTCTTTATTGGAATTGGTTGGGGAGAGAGGAGGATGATTAGGTTAATCTTAGCTTTGAAACAATGTAATATAATGTCTTCCATATAGCAAACATTAAATAACACAGAAACCAATTAACTCAATATTGGTTGGTATATTACCTATTATCCTATAAACAAGTTATGCAATATTATGATTACTTCTCCTACATACGCAAAATATAAAAACAAAGAATCGAATTTCTCTCTCAATTTTTTCCCCTTCTTTTTTCTAATAATTACTCCTACATAATTTTCATCCAAGTTTGGTGAAATAACTCCTCCTTGGGAAAGTGGTAGGGGTGGGGACACAGAGTTTAGTTTATTTATTTTAGGTCAGTTAATATATATATATATATATATATATATAATAAGCTCGATAATTATGTGTAAGATATACGGATTACCTATTTCAATAAGTAAAGATAATTTGATGATGTAGGAATTTTTTTTATACTAACAGTGATATAACTTAATATCATACGAGAATAGCATTTCTTAAGTTGTTGTATTTCAAATAACTAACTACTATTTCCATTTCGTTTACTAAAAATGTGATCTTTGACAAATAAGAGAGTTGATTCCTTTTAATTATTATTTTTACTCCTTATGCTAATAAACATGAGAGGAGATTAATAAAATGGAAAACAAGAGTAAAGTAACAAAATTGGGATTAAAAAATAAGAATAATTTATTTTAATTTTTTTTTTCAAGAGTGTGCAAAATATAAATGTGGCAACCAAAGAAAAATGAAGAACTAATATGTTTTTTTTTTATATTCTGATAATAGCTACTATAATACTCTCAAAAATTTACTAAAGGAAAGTTTCTGATTCAAATCTCTCTTTTGATTCATTTTTAAAAAAATCTTGTTATTAATTCTAGAAAGCAAAAAAAGACTAAAAAGGGGGAAAGTTTTATAGGACCAACAGCGAGAATAAACCACCTTACTTTAGGTGTTTTTCTTTTCTTTCAATTTCCCTTTTTGTTTTGTTTTATTTATTTTCACATCTTTTTTTTTTTCATTTCAGAAATGGTTTAGAAAGGTCATCCTTTATTGGATAAAAAATGCCCTTAACGTATAAAAATGGTTCAAAAATATCTTCCTTCCACCTATTGGGTAAAAAATGCCCTTAACCTATTAGAAATAGTTCAAATTTACCCACCTTTTACCTAAAAATATGACTATCAACTAATAAATACTATTTAATATGCCCGCATTTTGTGCGATCTTAATATATTTTAATAATAAATATAATATTTTTATAATATTGAAACATTCTTAAAAATTCTTTTTAGCCTTCAAATTTAAATAAATTAAAACTCAATTTAAAATTTATTTTACTTCTATTTTTTAATTATCTAACAATTTTAGTCTTTTAACATTACTGAGATTTTTGTATCAATTATGTTAAGTGATACTGTATATACACTCAGAAAAAAATTGAACAATAATTATCTTACTATGGGCATATACATAATGAAATTCCTCTTTCTCCGTGACTAAGACAATATTTTTATACAACATACATTCAGGTTAATTCACACGTTAATTCATATATTTTATTTAGAGAAAATACATTTATTAGGTAAGAAAAATATTTAGACAAACAAGCAAGAATTTATTTTTAAAAAAACGAATCAAAAGAAAACTAAATAATTGTCAACGTACAGTAAAAAAATAATTGACATGTATAATTAGAATTAGGAAATATTTTTGAGTCATTTCTATTATGTTAAGGGATTTTTTTAATCTAATAGGTATATGAAAGAGCAAATTTGAACCATTCTAATAGATTAAGGGCATTTTTTATCTAATAGGTGGATTGAGGGCATTTTTGACATAGGTGAAAGAAAGGGCAAGTTTGATCTAATAGGTGTGGAAGGAGGACATTTTTGAACGATTTCTAATACGTTAAGGACTTTTTTAACCTTTTCCCTTTAATATAATATGCTGAAAATAGATTTTTTTTAACAAAGTTACTGCACGTTGCCCAAGTATCATAAAGTCAGTAAATAATTTTTTTTAACCAAGGAGTCATGCACTAAGTAGGTGTTTGGATATAGGTTAAGTTGAGATTAGGAAAAAATAGTTTTCGAAGTTGAAGTTGAGAAATGATATTTTAGAAATTGAAATTATATGTTAAACAAACAATTTTCCAAATATGAATAAAATCTCATTTTAAAAAAACTTACCAAAAAATCAATCCACCAAACAATTTTTTTTTAAAAATAAAGGGAAATGTTTAAATACCTTTCAAAATTGTTTTTTGTCACTTACTTTTTTGACATCGACATTAAAAGTTAGTGGAAGTTAATTGAAGAGCTTAACTAATTTTGTTGCATGTGGGGACATGAAGAAACACAAGAATCATATGGATTTTGACAGTCATTAGATATTATATAATCAAATCGAAAAAATGAATGAATTAATTAATTTTCTCACACCTTTAACTTTTGATTTCTCACTTGGTGTTTGAGTAACTTGGATTTATGCATGTTCAGTCACTTTAGGAGTAAAAACATTTCCAGTTAAAAACGACTCCATACTTAAAACTACATACTCCACTTGTTATAAGAGCTTCTGACTATAGACATTAAAGTCAGCCTGTCTGAGAATGTAAATTATGTGGTGGATACGATAACAAATATGAGCCTTCTACATCAGTCAAGAAGCAACATTTTAAAATTTTCCGTTCGACGTATCGACCAACCCAGACCCCGTGCTTGTCACCAATGGAAGTTAAGATAAAACATGCTTTCATTCAAAATGTACTAATTAAAAATGAAAGAATACCTACCACACCCGCCTTCCATTCCCTCACAGGAAAATAGCTTAACTTGCAAAATCATATAGTGGTCCACAGAGTTTGTACTTTATGTAACATGCAAGAAATAATTGGGGGAAGAATTACGTACCTAATGAAAGTTTGTTGCTACATTTTTTACTATTTTATTTTATTGAATTTGAATGAAAGTTTGTTATTATGATTATTACCTTAGAGAGGGACCCCAATATCCATGTCATCACCAACTAAAGAAAAACGACTCAGCAGCAAATTTTAATTAAATTTTAAAGGACCTTTTCACCTATATATACAACAAGCCTAAAAAACATCTATCACAATTCACAACTGAAAAGAAAAACCAATATTTCTTAATATTAGTTAAAAAGAGACAAAACAAAAGAAAAATGGAATCTTGGCTTCGTATTTTGTTCTTGTTTGCATGCCTCTTTCCAGCTTTCGTTGAATGCCGGATTCGACGTTACAACTTTAATGTAAGTATTATTAAAAAAAAGCATTATCAGTATAATTTAACTTGTTATAGTAACTAATATACGATATGATGGTTGGTTTAACACAGGTGATGATGAAGACTACGACTCGGCTGTGCTCTAGCAAGCCCATTGCCACTGTTAATGGCAAATTCCCAGGACCAACAATCTATGCTAGGGAAGGTGACAATGTGCTCGT